ATCATCACTACCTACAGTACACAATATGAAACCGCTAAACCCAAACACTGCTCCAAGTAGACATGGCTAGGTGCCGGTTCCGGCCCGGCCCGGCCCGCCGGGCCACGGGCCAGCCAACCCGCGGACCGCAACCGGCCCACTAAAAACCAAGGGCCGGTTCATAGAACCTGCCCCACCCGCCGGTTCACCGGCCCGGCGGTTCACCGTCCCGGCGGTTCACCCACGAGTACGGTTCTTGAAAAAATCAAAGAATTTGGCCCGACCCGACTCGAACCACTGGTACAAAAAAAAATAGGGAGAACCGTAACCGGCCCGTTTTGGGCCCGGTCCGGTTCACTAACCGGCCACTGTTCATGCCGTTGCCGGTACCAGTTCACGGTTCAGGCCACGGGCATATCTAGCTCCAAGCAGCGTATCCAATATTGACGTTTGGGACAAAACAACTGATGGGTCTGCTCTCAGATCTGGAACGGTTTGGTAAGAAAACGTCCGGATCTGGGATGAACCGGTATGAATGAGCTTAGATCTGGCCTGATGACCTTCGAGCCGTTGCTGAATCGCACGAACACCTGCAAGAACTCAACGCCGGAGGGTTTTTCCGGCGTAGAGCCTCCGACGCTCAAGTCAGTATGTGAGAGATGATGGGAGCTGCCATCAGAGCAGCAGCAGTAATAGAAATGTATGGAATGAATGGGAGTTAGGGTTTTGGGATTACCTCAGTCCTTTATATAGGAGTACAATATATACCCGAAGTCCCCAAAATGCCCTGGCCGACTTAAGGGAAATGTCCAGAATACCCCGGTCGGTTCATATTCCGCCTACTTCCTAGTCAGCATCTAGATCCTTCCTTAGCTTCCTTCTTATCCTTAACTTTCCTTCAATATGCGGAGGTGTGTCAAAGCTATCGGGCACCTCGAACTGCAAGACTCCTTCAGTCGACTTGAGGTATCGAACCGAGTCGACTGGATCGCATTCCATCATTAATGGACCCTGATTCGTCTGATCGCTGTCGGGGCATATGTCGACTCGTTCCAGTCGACGGATATATGTCGACTCGGTCGAGAGCCGGGCTTCTTGATTGAGTACCATGAAACCCTACCGGCGGAGTCGACTGTGTTATAGTCGACTTTGGCAGTTCCGAACCACGATGACATGAACCGCTATGAGCCGATTGTGACCATGCCGCGGTTACTGAACCGTGGCACGATAGTATGGCTATATAAACAACCATTATATATTTATAAACCCGCCCTTTTACCAAACAATATTATTTAGCTCGTCAAACTTTCAAAACAGCGAAATAGACTAAAAAACGCTAAAATTTAGTAGAAACTCCAATAACTAAACGTAGCAATAATTTGAAATAAACATAGCTAATTCTTTACAACAAAAAAGACAAGGGAAAAAGTAAAATCTCTCACGTTATTTCTTAATTTTATTCAAAAACTGTAGTACAAATGAATCAGAATGTAAATGAGTCGAGCCAAAAATATTTGGCTAAGCTTGGGAAGGTTTGAACTAAAAGTAATCCATCAAGAAGCTAAATTGTTATTATACTTATTATTCACATAGTTTTTTAAATATATAATAAAATTTTACAAAAAACCATTATTGTATGGATCTACATTATATTCAAATTGAATTTTTGAATAAAAAAATAAAAATGACATATGTTTTGAAATGAATATAATATAATTTATTATTAGTTATGTGCACCGTCATATTTTATGTAATTTTACACATTTAAATTTCATATACCATTTTAAATAAATTAATATAGGTAATTTGTATTACATATTGATTCTATAATTTTAATTTATAAACATTATTTAATAAGCATTTCTTGGTGATGGAAGAGGCCACAAGGGACATACAAAGTGATATCCGTTGGTGATGGATGAGGCTACAAGAGACATACAAGGTGATATCCCTTGGTGTATGCTCTTTGCTGATGATGTGGTGCTAGTTGACGAGAGTAGGGCAGGATATATAAAGTTAGAGTTGTGGAAGGACACGTTAGAGTCGAAAGGCTTCAGACTTAGTAGGACGAAGACCGAGTACATGACGTGCGCTTTCAGCATGGCTACATATGATGATGGTGACGTTAGCCTTGACGTGTAAGTGGTGGCCAAGAAGGAGACTTTCCGGTATTTAGGATCGATGCTACAAAAGGATGGCAGCATTGATATAGATATTAGGCATATAATTGCAGCCGGTTGGTTGAAATGACGTCAAGCTTCGGGCGTTCTCTGTGATAAGAGGGTGTCACAAAGGCTAAAAAGTAAGTGTTATAGGACGGCGATTCGCCCGACAATGCTATACGGTGCTGAATGTTGCCTACAAAAAGGTAACATGTCCAACAACTAAGTGTAGCAGAGATGCGTATGTTGCATTGGTTTTGCAGGCACACAAAAAGGGATAGAATCCGGAATGAGGATTCGAGATAGGGTCGGGGTGGCTCCAATTGAGGAGAAATTGGTTCAATATTAGCTGAGGTAGTTTGGACATGTCCAACAGGGGCCTCCCGATACACCGGTGCATAAGGAAGTTCTACAGCGGGTCAATGATGTAAAGAGAGGTAGAGGTCGGCCTAAACTCACTTGGGAAGAGTCGGTTAAGAGAGACCTTAAAGATTAGAATATCTCCAAAGATTTAGCGGTGGATATGAGCGCTTGTGGCTAGCAATCAACGTGCCAGAACCGTGACTTTTTGCTCCTTTCTCTTTTGCTTCAATCTCTTCCTTTTGTTTTTTTAGCCCTTTTTGTGTTTCTCTTACCATTGGTTCTCTTGGGTTTCATCTCTAGCCTACCCAACTTGTTTGAGACTAAAAGGCTATGTTGTTGTTGTATTTAATAAGCATTTCTAATTTATAAATTATTAATGAATATCTCTTATTTGTTTATCGCACGAGATTCGTACCAGTACTAATAAACCGAAGGAAATAATTGATTAAATCAATCATGCTATGCGATCATGCTTGTTCAGAAAGTCCACGCAATCTCGTCTCTATCAGACTTTGGCCATTATACACGTGTACTTATATTTATACTATTAAAATTAATTAAAATTAAATGACTGGGGACAAATGACGTCGTGTGTCTCGCTTAGCTTCAAGTTTCAAAACCACGAAGCATCCGAGGTGGAACCCACGTAGGGGCGCACATGTACGATCCCGGTTAGAATACTGTGCCCGGTTTAGACTCCTACCCGCTTCAGAAAGAGGGAAAATAAAATAGTTCACTAAACTAAACACAAATACCCAATTTAATGGCAAATACTTAGGTGTGTCAGGGCCTTATGTGAATTACATCCCTTCTAAAGGCGCGTGAGAGGTAAGAAGGTAAGTGTTTTTTTTTAAATGAGACATGTGTCCCATTTTTATTGGGTAATGAATTTCATTTATCATATTATATAAATTAAATTATCATGCATATTTTGTATCAAAAAAATAAAAATAAAAATATCAAAATTCATAATTTTTCATTCTCTACAAATAGAGACCACATTTGATATTTTTGGAACACAATTAATTTATCATTTTTTACAATTAATTTATCTTATTGGAAGATTATGACGCAAATCTATAATTAGATGAATATGTTTAATAGTAAGATGAACATGTTATAGAGTAAGATGAACATGTCATAGAATAAGATGAAAATGTTACATTTTCACGGATGAAATTTAGATGAACATATTCTAAAATAAGATGAACATGTTACATAATAAAATGAACATGTTATAGAATAAGCTGAACACGTTGCATACATAATAAAATGAACATGTTATAGAATAAGATGAACATGTTACATAATAAAATGAACATGTTATAGAATAAGATGAACACGTTACATACATAATAAAATGAACATGTTATAGAACAAGATAAACATGTTACATAATAAAATGAACATGTTATAGAATAAGGTAAACATTTATAAAATAAGATGAATATGTATTATTTTCTGCAATTTGTAACATGTTCATCTTATTTGAAAACATATTCATCTTATTATGTAACATGTTCATTATATGTCAGTATAATAAAATAATTACGAAAAAACGAAAAATTAGTTGTGTTAAAAAAAACCTATCAAATGTGGTCTCTATTTATAGATAATGAAAAATTATGAATTTTGATATTTTTATTTTATTTTTTTAATATAAATAATTAATAATATTTTAATTTATGTAATATGTCTCATTTTTCAATTAAAAAAAAAATAGGAATGTGCACTACACTCTCTTAATTTTCTAGTTTTGGAAGGTGAGGAGCGCGTACAAAATGTGCCCTGACACACTTAGCTAGGTGTGCCAGGGCACACGGTAGTACTTCTGCAATTTAATTGTACATCTTTTTTGTTAAAAAATTTCATGCGTGCAGAAGAAAATCTGAAAAATGTTTTTTTTTTTTTTTTTTTACCTCAAAAGTACTTTATTGTTTTGCTAAACAATAAAAGTTTGGTGAACAAAAAAAGTATAATGATGGGAAAGAATAAAATTAGCATCCAACAATTAACAAATAGCATAGTTGTTAAATAAAACGAGCGGTCTATGAGCTTGGCTAACGAGCCAAACTTATTTAAAATTGTTTAATCAGCGAGCTGAGCTGAGCTTAGGTAACACTTAAAGTTTTTTGTGTAATTTTTTTCTACACTAAATTTTATTAAACTCGAACTCAGCTCGTTTATAGTTTTACATGTCAAACTACACAATGGCACAGCAAACATAAATGAGCAAAATGTTATTATAATATTTGTCATTTGAATTCATCCACAGGTAAGGTATAGTATAGTATAGTACATTACTACTAAAATAAAAATTAGCATCAAAACCGTGTTTATCTTTCCCAATTTCCTAAACCAAAGTTTTTTATCCAATTTGAGACAATAAAGCAAACCCGAGGCCCGAAAAAAACATGAAAAACAAAGGAAAAAAGCAAAAATAGAAAAACACAAAAGCCGAAAGAATCTCGATGTTTGCCGAATTGCTGGTTCAGGCTATGATGACGACGACGACGACGACCGGTCCACCGCCTCAGCCAATTTTCCGATCCTCTCCGCCAGCTCCGGTGACAGCTTTATCGCCGGCTTCTTCACCTTCTCCCGCCGGAAATCGAAACCCAAAGCATCCGACACCTCCTCGGAGCTCCACCCGGCCTTCCGTAGAATATCCGAGAACCGGTCCGCTTTCAGCAGCAGGGCGTCCATCACGGCCTGATTGTCGAGCATCACCATCTCGCCGTCGAAGAAGCCCGATGCCGGCACGCCCACGATCTCGGACACGTCGGACTCCGCCCACCCGCCTTCCCTCAGAACCGACCCGATTCGGCTCACGTACCCGTCGACCCACTCGGGCGACTCGGATCTCGGCATTTCTATGTACCTGTCCGGCGATGAGGAGGACGAGGACGACGAATTCGAGCTCCTCCGCCGCCGATCGACGGCGGCGTCACTCCAGAACTCCACCCACCGCGGCGTGCGCCCACCGGAAAGCGCGTCGAGGCTCCTCCTAGAGAAATTGGTCGAGGACCCGGTTGATTTCTCGGTCAGCGACCGCTGCTTGGAGAGGACGTTCGGGGCGGCGGTTTGGTGGAAAACGGATTCCCGGTCGAAGAAATCCGACAGATCGAAGCCGCAGCAGAAAATCCGGCTCTCGTCGACGAAGAAGACAGGGTTTCCGGCGAGGCAAGGGTTGCAGGGGATGTAGCAGTGGTTGAAAACAGGAATCAGAAGCGGGGCACGTTTCAGTGCGTTTCGGGCTATTTTCATGGCTTTTTCCGGGTCGGACGGCCTCGGGCCCCATGATTTTGACCAGAGCGCGTCGCGGGCTATGTGGAAGGAGATGGAAGCGATGGGGAGATCGATGGAGGCCCGGAGGTGGAGCCTGGCCGTACCGGAGGACCGCCAGTCGGGGAAGCCGGCTCCCAGGGGCAGGCCGGCCGAGAGGACTGCCCGAAGGTCCGGAGGAAAGGCGAAGCCGAACTCGGCCTCGGCCACGGCGAACTCCGGCTCTGTCAGGCCTGGCCGGACCAGGACGCCGGAGTTCTTGAGGTGGGCGATCACCTTGTCCGCGAGGGGGGTGAAGGAGAAGAGGCTGTTGCGAGGGGGAAGGGGCGTGGAGGGGGCCGACGCGGCGGCGCGAGCAGAGAGGCGGCGGAGGCCGGCCATGTGGGCCGGGTTCAGACCGGCCATCCTCCGGTCCACGTCCACCATTATATACTACAAATCTAAAAGGTTTTGAATTTGTGATCCTGCACGAGCTTTATTCTTTCTCGAGGTAGAAAAAAATGGGGGGTCTGATCTGTGTGTAGGTTTTTGTCTATTATCCTTTTTCACTGTGCGTGTGTGTTTTTTCAGAGAGAGGTTTAGAGAGAGAAAGTGTGGAAAAGTAGAGAGATGGAGTGGAGCTGACAGTGAAGTGCAAATGGGGGAAAGTGAAAAGCAGAGGATTTATAACAGGTGGAGGAGGTGGGGCCCATTTCGAGATTATTATGATGGGATTAAAATTAATTAACAAATTAGTAAGTAAATATAGTATTAGTAGTATTTTTTTTGGATTGGGGTTGTGTTTTTCAATTTTTTTTTTTTTAATTTATTTTTTGTTAATCGGTTTTCAATTTTTTTTTTCACGGCTACAAAAGTTCTTAGCATGACAGCCTGAGTCACTTTAGGAGGGTCCACCCCTTTTATTTAAAGATAAATATGTAAATAAGGGAGATACTACCGTTCTGTTATGAAACTATTCTGTCATGTTTGTAAACCGTTAGATTAACTCTCCGACGTTTACATGATGATCTAACGGTTATAAACCCGACCGAATGATTCAGTAATGGAAACATAGTATTTCCCTGTAATTATACTATTAAATGCCATGTTTTTGTTTTGTTATTTTACTACATATGACATTTTTTAAATTTTTAAATAAATTATACATATTAGTTAAAAAAAATTATGTTGGACTAATGAGGAATTTGGTGAAGTCATAATAGAGACATATAAAATATTCTTATTCAAGCTTAAATGGGGAGATTTGTTGCACGGTTTAACGTGATAATTTTCTCTAATCAAAGAAACAAAATCAGATATTTAAAGGGATTGATTATAGTTTTTGTGTTGTTACTTTTTTTGCGAAGAGTTTCAAAGGGTTGGTCGTCTTGCCTGCCAAGAGCCAGCACCAAATTGATCTCTCATTTAATTGCATTTTTATTGATCATGTGTCACACGTACAAAAATATTTTTTACATGTAACTTTCATTTGGTGTGTTAAAAGTTAAGACATAATAATGCTAAGTCAATCTTGATTTTCTTCTTAAATTGTCGATATCATATCATATTATATATTCAATTATATTGATATACTGTCAGGGGCGGACGCAGAATGTTAAAAGTATGGGGGCACAATATAATTTATAAAAGAACAAAAAAAACGACAAACGTTACATTACAATTGTTCTCTATGTGTTTTCTAAAAAAATACGCTACAAATAAGAAATAACATTTACGACTATTTATTAAAATCATGAAAGCCCTAAATTAAAAATTACATCAATTTTAAAAATTCTCAAATACAAATGTTGGGTTATAAAAATTAGAAAACAATTAAATAAAGCATACTTTTTGGAATAAAAATTGATAGCCACTAAGGAAGTAGAAGTTTAAACCTATACCTATTGAGTATTGAAGGATTTTATTTATTTATTTATTTATTACTAATTGCATCCAAATTTTATAGTTGGGCTGGAGGGAGTAAAAAAAGATAAATGTGAACAGAATATAAGATGACATACGACCTGACAAAAATAAAATAATTTGGCTTGTTGTACTATTGGGTCCACATGACAACACAATTAAAATATATATTACATACTACATCACAAGAAAACTTAACACAATATATATATATTACATACATATAATATATACTGACAGTTCTCATACCACAGGGGCACGTGCCCCTGCGGGCCCCTATGTGGGTCCGCCCCTGTATACTGTCAATTATAGAGAAATGCTACGGTCCACTACTGAATCATTCCATCGAAGTTTATAACCGTTAGATCAACTATCTCTGACGGATACATGATGATTTAACGGTTATAAATTCCGACAGAATAATTCCGTAATGAGACTGTAGCATCTCTATCAATTATATTCATCGTATTGTAGAGAATGTCATGTATATACAAATGTTGCAGAAATATTATTGTTACACAATTATACTTTTTCAGACAAATATGCTTACTTTCACCACCTTATCTAAAAGAATGAGAATTTTTCTACATCTCTCTCAAACTTATCTAAAAGAAATAGCTTTGAAAATATATTGCAATGACGTTGGCCTCACTAACTGAATTAATATAATTTTTTTTAATTTATTTTTGTATACCTAAATATCTTAGGTACACAAGTTTATTTATGGATTGGTGTAATAATGGCATATATCCAAGTGTATTTCTTTTAATATAATATAGATGTCAATACCAATGAATAATTGTATATTATGACATGTCATGAGACTATAGCAAAATTGAGACCTTTCATAATAATAATATATATAAACATGCATCTTTGTTAGAAATATTTGACTGTAAGCATTAAACCACCTGACATAAAAATTTGTGTTGTAATACGAGCAACGGTGCCGGTTTAGTGAAAAAACGCATCGAATCGCAAAAACAAAAAAACAAAAACCGAACTACACCACAACTTAGAAAAAACTTAACCGCAACTAAACCAATATTTTTACACTAAAACAACCAAACCGAAATGTACGGTTCGACTCGGTTTTCGATTTTATCTCAGTTTTTCTATACATTTCATTCAATTTGGTGCGGTTCAGTGCAAAATCGCACTGGACCGAACAAAATAAAAAATCGAACTTATGAAAAATTATATCTGCACCGCACCGAATGCAGGAAAAAATCGAACTGGAATTTTTTACATTAAAAAAACCGAACTGAACGCCGCACCGAATCGCACGATTTGGCTCGAATTTTCAGTTTCGGCCCAGTTTTACTCGCTGATATAGATATGTATGTACCACTTATTTAATATATATTCACAACAACTAGGCTAACTGAAAAATGGAGTCACGTTATATAAACTTTTAAAGAAAGTGAAACGTATTAATAGCACCTCTGAAGGAAAAAGTCCATGGATGATGATGCATTTCAAACTTTCACATGGCAATTTCCAGAAATTAATCACCTACAATTCACATGGCTCTCGAGAATCGATCAGTGTACATATTTGTCAGTTTTGTCAGACATGGCCACGGGCGGCCCGGCCCGTGGCCCGACCCGTGACCCGGTACCGGCCCGGCCCGGCCCGGTACCGGTA